AATTTTATTAAGTTTTTTATTTTAATTCTGGTATAGTTAACATACAGTGCTATATTAGTTTCAGGTGTACTATATAGTGACTCAACAATTCTATACATTAATTACTTCATGTTCATAAGTATACTCTTTAATCCCACCACCTGTTTCAACCACCCCCCCACCCCGCCACCTCCCAATCTTAACCATCTTTAAATGTACAGGTCAATAATGTTACATTGTTGGATATTCAGTCTCCAGAACTTTTTTTATCTTGTACAGAAACTATACCCATGAAACAATAATTCCCCATTTTCCCCTCTCCCCCAACTCTGGCAACCACTATTCTACTTTCTAGGACTTTGACTCCTCTAGATGTTTTTAAGTAATCTCTACACCAAACATGGGCTTGCACTCACAACCCCAAGATCAAGAGTCACATGGCTATACTGACTGAGCCAGCCAGGCACCCCCCACCTTTAATTTAAAAGACTTCATATAACAAAAATGTAATGTCAGGTATCTTTTCCCACTAAAATACCTTGATGGCATAAAACTAAGAGCAAACAACTAAAAAACATACCTGAAAGGGATAAATTTTGACCAAGTAACTTTGGCTTATTCGAGATGACCAATTTGTTACTTAATGAGAGTGGTAGAAAATCGGTCATTAAATAGGATTACCATTTCAAAACTTCACAAAATCTTCACAAATGTATTACAAAGAAACAATGTTTCCTTACATGTATCATTAGTTCTCATTAATTTCTCCATTGTTTACATAACCAAAACATTCTGCCCATGGTTTTGTGGTAGTGAGCAAGTATCACAAATACTGTAATTGTCTGTTTCTCTATTATACTGTGGGGCCTTCCAATGAGAGAATCATGTGCTAATTATATCTAGTGTAATTCTTGCTCATAGCAAGTAATGAATATATGACTAAGTTTATAAAGCCATGAACTTGGTAGATCTAAGAAAAACAAGAAGTCTGAAGTATTTACTATTTTTTTAATCCAAAGAAACATGGTACTATCCAAGGCCATAGTAAATGCTCTTTAAAGATGAAGTCAAAAGTTTTAAGTCATAGGACAATGACATTCTTTTCTCTTGTGAATGCAGCTAAATATTGAAATAGTTTAGTTCAACTAATTTTCAGAAACTACTTCTAACAAGGGGCACCTGGGTAGCTCTGTTGGTTAAGCATCTGACTTTGGCTCGGGTCATGATCTCAGGGTCCTAGGACCCAGCCCTGCACCTGTAAGTCCAGCTCCCTGCTCAGGGGGGAGTCTGCTTCTCACTCTCCCTCTGCCCCTCCCCCTGCTGGTGCTCTCTCTCAAATAAATAAACAGAAAAATCTTAAATATTTCTAACAACAAAACTGACAAATTGAAATCGGTGTGGGGGGGGGAGCTACAAACTACTCTTCTTTCACCCAAACTGCATGACAACAGATCTGCTAAAGGCTCCTGGTCTCTTACCCCACTCCTACACCTTCCCCAGGGAGGTGGAGTGAGTTACCTTGATGGTGGGGAGTCTGGTCTCTTTTTCCCTTCTTTCCCTGGACTGGTGAGTAGGAAGCAGTGACCTAAGTTGGTTTCCTCTGCAGATGCAAGCTTTCCTCGGGCTGGACTGGTCCAGGCTGGACTTAGTTGGGAGGTAGAACTGATGGGTAGGGAATTAGCAAGTCTAATACAACTCTCTCACTAAGCTGCTTCCTCTAGCCTTTGTTGTAATAAAGAAGCAGTAAAGTGAGTCAAATGAATTTTTTGCTTTCCCAGTGCATATGAAAGTTAGCTTGTCCTGTAGTGTTGCATTGTCTATAAAATATACATTCCTTAATTCAAATATCCTCATTGCTAAAAAAAAAAAAAAGCTAACCAGCATCTAAGCTTTCAGCAAATCATCATCTTTCTACTGGTGGAGGGTCTTGCCTCAGTGTGGATGGCAGCTGACTGATTAGGGTGGTGGCTGCTGAAGGCTGGGTTCGCTGTGACAATTTCTTCAAATAAAGACTGAAGTTTGCTGCATCGATTGACTCTTCTTTCAAAAATAATTTCTTGTTGCATGTGATGCTGTTGGTAGCATTTACCCGCAGAACTTTTATTTTTTAATTTAAATTCAATTAACATATAATGTATTATTGGTTTCAGAGGTACAGATCTGTGATTCATCAATATTATAGAATACCCAGTGTTCATTACATCACATGCCCTCCTTAATGTCCATAACCCAGCTACCCCATCACCCTATTCCCCTCCCCTCAGCCACCGTTTGTTTCCTAAGATTGAGTCTTTTTTTTTTTAAAAGATTTTATTTATTTATTTGAGAGAGAGAATGAGATAGAGAGAGCATGAGAGGGGGGAGGGTCAGAGGGAGAAGCAGACTCCCTGCTGAGCAGGGATCCCGATGTGGGACTCGATCCCAGGACTCCAGGATCATGACCTGAGCCGAAGGCAGTCGCTTAACCAACTGAGCCACCCAGGCGCCCAGATTAAGAGTCTCTTATGGTTTGTCTCCCTCTCTGATTTCATCTTATTTTTTTCTCTTCCCCTATGAACTTAGGCCTTGTTTTTAAATTCCAAACATCAGTGAGATATAATTGTCTTTCTCTGACTTATTTCGCTTAGCATAATACCCTTCAGTTCCATCCATGTTGTTGCAAATGGCAAGATTTCATTTTTGATGGCTGCATAATATTCCATTATGTATGTGTGTGTATGTATATATACACATACACATATATATAGAAAAAATGGAGTCAATCCTCTTAAACCCTGCTTCTGCTTTATCAACTAAGTTCATGTGATAGACTGAATCCTCTGTTGTCATTCCAACAGTCTTCACAGCATCTTCACCAGGAGTACCTTCCATCTGAAGAAACCACTTCCTTGGCTCATTAAAAGGTGCAACTCTCATATGATGTAATGAACACTGGGCATTATAGTAGACTGATGAATCACTGACCCCTACCTCTGAAACTAATAATACATATTAATTGAATTTAAATTAAAAAA